CGGACTGGTCCACGCTTCTCCAACCGATATTTGAATGGCCAAGCCCACCTGAGAACCTGCACAGGAGTTCAACGGGGAACGGGGAGTCCCCCAGCGAACCCTCCGACGAGCAAGTTAGAGAGACAGAAGTGGAATGTAGAGATGTGAATTGGAGATAGAAAACTTAACCTTTTTCTTGTCTTCAACGTCTGCTTATATCCTTTGGTAATCATTTCATTGTCCCTTCCGACCTATCACCTTGGCCAAAAGTCTATGCTGTAGCTTACCTTGTTCAGGGTGAGGGCGTGCTGTCCCGACGGAGAGGTATTGTCATAATAAATGCTGTGAGGGGCTGCATTAATGGCGATGTGCAGTGGCAATAACTTTGCAGATCTTTGTCTGCTGATGTGGCTTGCCCTTTGCCTGCCGCGTGCCTGGGTATTATTGGTCCTTCGTGTCATGTTGGTTTCCAGCTGTTCTGGACCTCATCAATTAGGTTGTGTATTGGGCTCTAAGTGATGAGCTTGGGTTGTTCGTAGTAGACTATGGCCTTTATGGGCCTAACCACGTCAAGCCAAATTCTCAGGATTTCTGTACATTTCCATCCATGGCACACACAAAGAACTCTAACAAGAAACAAAACACACAAAATATGCAAAGAAAAAGACTTTCAAATTTCTTTACTTCACTGTGTTCTTCATTGATGGGTCATAACCGGTTCAATATCCTTAAGAAGTCCAACTATCTGTTGCATGCTTGGTCGCTTCGATGGAAGATCAGCTGTGCATAGAAACCAATCTTCTAGGCTCCCAACAATTGAGTCTCTGATCCCTTTTCACGAATTTTTGGATTGATGGCTCTACATCCCTCGTTCTTCTTCACTAGTCTTCTCACCCACATGACCAAATTTGCTTCTTTCACATCTGGATAGTCATCTTAAACAGGCTTTTTTCCTGTAATGAACTCAAACAGAACTACTCCAAATCCATAAACATCAGATTTTGGCGTTGGGATCTTCGCGGAGCCAGTTTTCCCTCGTTCTTCCTTTTCAGCAAGTAGTTAAAGAAGGGACTGGCTTCCTCTTGTCCGTGATCGAGCTGTTGGGCCCATGGGGGCTTAACACGGGTCTTGTTTTGATAATTTGAACCGTTCAATGTGAGAACTCGTTGAGTACTATATGTCTGTAAAAAATTACGTTGATCAGATATAGATAATTATGTAATCAAATCAGTTTTGTATTAAAAAAAATGAACAGTGAAAAAATAAACGGTTGATAGAAATCTGATCGAATGAGATAGCTGTTGATATTCGATCAACGTGATTTTTAACAGAAATATAGTACTTGACGAGTTTTACACATTGAATGATTCAAATTCTTGAAACGGGACGCGTGATGGGTCCCATGAGCCCAACAACACCCTCTAATCCGATCACGGACCAGAAGAAAGCTAAACTCGGTATATAACGACTTGCAATCAATATCTTTCAATAAACTTAATATTTTTTTTCCTCTTATAAAAAATTAATTTAATGGTGGGATATACTAGAAATTATTGCTATGTGTTTTTTTTTTTTTTTTTTAAATGTTTGATAAAAATAAATATGAAAAAAATATTTTAAAAATTATTTATTCCCTCCAAAAATATAAAATTATAAGTATTTTTTATTTCATTTTTTCACTAAATTAATTTTTAGTTCTTTTAAAAAAAATTAAAAATATATTCTGAAAATCAAACAAAACAAAACAAAACCTATGTGTATAACTAGAAATAGAAAATTGAATGCTTAGTTGGTCACTATGACTTTCTTAAGACTTAGTCTTAAGGGAAGGTTATGCGTTCAACTCTCCTTAAGAAGGAGTTAAATTAGAAGGCAACTAGCTGGTGGCACACGCGATACATGTGCAATTCAAATAACTAATAATAAAAACAAGTAATAAAGAATTTAATATCATAATATGTATGTTGCTTAAGTGATAAGTATATATTCTTAATGAAACTCAAAGTCTTGGGTTTAAAACTTGCTTATGCTGTGTATAATATAAAGTTGTCAAGTGACACGAGAAGAAGAAAGTTTCACTAAACTAATTTAGGCCTTCATTTAATAATAAAGTTTCCCTAAACTAATTTAGGCATTGACTTAATAATAGATAGATAGATAAAAGATAGATAGATAACTTGGTAATTTACAAGAATTGGGTGCTATCTAACAAACTAACTTTCGCTAATTTTTTTTTTAAAAAAAAAAACCCTAGAAATAAAACTCTTGGCTGATGTATATTCATTTCATAGTTGAAAGGTTATCAACATGCTAACAACCAATCCAAATTTTATTCATTTAATATCATATTTGCTATAGCCCCGTTTGGTAGAGCTGTGGGAAAGTGCTTATAACTTATGCCTAAACAGCTTATAGCTTATAACTTTCAGCTTAAGCTGATTTCCAGCTTATTCTTAAAGCATATCCTGCCCCACTCAAAGAATAAGCTGTTTTCTGACTTCCACAAAGCTATAAGCTATAAGCTATAAGCTAAACCAAACACATCAAAATAGCTTAAATTAAGCTGAAAGCTGAAATAAGCTGAAATTAAGCTGTACCAAACAGGGCCATTAAGCTGTGTTAAATGTTGGATTGATTGGGATTTGCTCCATCTTTATTTCTTGTATTTATAGTAGTCAAGTCCTCTTGAAAATCTCGTCCGTCTTTTGAAAACCTGTAATAGCCTCCTGAAAATCTCCATAAAATCTTGAAAGTAGGGTGCTGGACAACTTCCTGAGCTGACATATGTCCCAACAGCTTCCTCCTTCTATGCAAGTGGTTGGTTTGTACCTCAAAGATAGGGTTGACCAGATCCTCCTGAAAACATGAGTCGTTAGATGACAAGTGTCCTTGTTTGGTCAATCCACACCGCCTTTGTAAGAGTTGTTGAGCACATTTAACTCTCATCATTGGTTTGCTTTAGGTAGTGGATATAGAACCTCTTGGATTATTATCACTTGTTCTCCTCGTTTATTATCTAATAACATATATTAATTAAGATATATATATATATATATGTATAAGAAAAAAGAGAAATGGGGCCTACATGAATCCCAACTCTCTAGGGATTTGACCACCAATTCACACTATGATCGCATCATATCCATTCTAGAACCCCAAATTTGTTACCATTTGGGGCTTGCTAAAATTACAATTTTTGTGTCACCATCCAATTCGCAGTCATTTTCGATACAAACAGCCACATTGAAGGAAAATGTTGTCGCCTCCCTGAATATCTACACAATATCACCCATGTTCCCAGATGAGTATTGAGATTACGGGCTTGTGATTGGGAGAAAATTGACGAATCCACCGTCCGTCGTTGTCATCCAATCTCCGATGAACAACATTATTCGATATTACGGAACTTTCCTTTGATCTTGTCTTCTGTCTTTGCCAAATTTCACATCAATCTTGCCATCTATCTTCACCGAATTCAACATGTGCACAAAACGTAAGTCCTTTCTGAAGCCTATAATGATTTCGCAACATTGGATATAAAATTTCATATTGACTTTTAGTCCTTATCTTTTATGTGTGAAACTCATATTCACTAGTAATTGATGTTAGTGTTTGCTAACACATACAAAAATAAAAAATAAAAACAAAAAAACAAAACAAAAAACAAAAAACAAAAAACCAAAGATAACGTTTGATTTATTTTTTAAATTACGAATTTGTTTTTAAACCATAATTTGAATGAAATATATTAACTAACAATACAACTCAAAATTACTTTCAAAACTCTTTTTTTTTTATTTTTATTTTTTATAATTATTATTAATCAATCAATCAATCATTTTTTCTCTCATTTCTCATCTCTCCTCTCACATTCTATATAACAAATTTTTTTTTTAAATCATAATTTAAAAATTCAAAACTCAAAATATAATTTCACACTCAAATCATTATTCTAAAACTAAGTCAAACGGAACTATGCGTGTTTGTAAAGTTTGTTACAAGTTTAAAGTTGATAATAAAAAAGTAATAGTCAAAAGTATCTCTCTCACAATTTTCTAAAAACTTAGTTTTTCTCCTTCTTTTATTTTTTATTTTTATCCAATTTATTTAAACTATTATTGCTTAACAAATTGCAAGCAACAATTGTATGAAAAAGTTTAGCACAAATTCTCGAAATAAATAAAATAAAATAAAAAATTATAAACAACTCATATAAACTATATCAAATAATTCTAAATCCTAAAGTAAGCAATTGTGATTCAAACAGATAGAATTTTGACATAAAAGGGTAATGAAGGTTGAGTACAAATTACAAAATTTGAGTTCCAAATATGTACGAACATATTCCTCATTCCTTGGTATGGGTACATGTTACCAGTGCATGGGGGGACAATAACGGATCCAGTTGTGACTGGGTGGTCCTCCATTCCATGCTATCATATCACATTTACCTAACATATGATAGTACAAAATATAACTTTAACGAATTAATACACACACTAGCATACAAATGGTGTGTAGTCTAACTAAAACATGTAATTAAGATGAGAATTTTCGGCCCAACATGAATTAGATAAGATTTTAATTAGGGTTGGTTAGTTCGAGATACAAACTCAAAAGAGGCACAATCCAATAACATAAAAAATTAAAAGATCAAGTTTAATGTCAAACTTACATGATACGAATTTGATATAGTTAAGCCACTTAATCTAATTGCTATATAAAGAAGGACTAACCTCACTATATTTGTCTCCATATTTAGTCATCTTAATTTTTTGTCTTGCTAGTTTAATCAAAAACTTTAATTGAATCCTTTATTATCTGTTCTATTTGGACTCATTTTCTACTAATCGTATCATTTGTATCATTTTAATGTTCATAAGCAGATCGAATTAATATCAAGATATTTCTAACGATTAATTAAATAAGTTAGTATCGAGAGGAGTCTGATACAAATTCAAGATGATACAATACAAACACAACCTAAAAGATATAAGAGTTTCCTATAAAGCACCAATACCTCATATGAAACAAAACCCAAATTTCATACCTCACCCTAGTTCAACGCTTGTTTCAGTATGCTTACAGGAGATGAAAGAATCAAATGTAGAGCAAGAGAAGCAATTGAATATTTGTGACAAGAATGCTCTCTTTATAAACAAATCAAGCTTTTTGTGCCACCAAGGATGGTAAGGTAGAAAGAAATTAGCCAAATTCTCAGGATTTCTGTACATTTCCATCAATGGCAACACAAAGAACTCTAACAAGAAACAAAACACACAAAAAATGCAAAGAACCAGACTTTCAAATTTCTTTACTTCACTTTGTTCTTCATTGATGCATCATAACCGGTTCAATATCCTTAAGAAGTCCAACTACCTGTTGCATGCTTGGTCGCTTCGATGGAAGATCAGCTGTACATAGAAATCCAATCTTCAGGGCTTCCAACAATTGAGTCTCTGATCCTTTTTCACGAATTTTTGGATCGATGGCTTTACATCCCTCGTTCTTTCTCACTAGTCCTCTCACCCACATGACCAAATTTGCTTCTTTCGCATCTGGATAGTCATCTTCAACAGGCTTTTTTCCTGTAATGAGCTCAAACAGAACTACTCCAAATCCATAAACATCAGATTTTGGCGTTGGGATCTTTGCGGAGCCAGTTTTTGGATCAAGAAACTCTGGTGGCACATACCCGGGTGACCCACAAACTATTTCATCTTCTATGCCATTCCCAAAAATCTTAGCCAGTCCAAAATCAGACAACCTAGGTTCCAAATTGGAGTCAATGTAAACACTATTCGCTTTGACATCCCTGTGAGTTATAGGAGGTGAGCACCCATGATGGAGAAATGCCAAGGCTCGGGCAGTGCCAAGTGCGATTTTGTACCTAAATGTCCAAGTTGTTAACAACTCTTCAGACCCAACATTTTGAATCCCATCATTTTCATCTTTGCTCCAATCCTCAGCTGTTTGAACCTCACGTGGCAAGTCATGAAGCAAATTTTGCAAATTTCCGTTCTCCATGTAATCGTATATGGCAAGCCGTTGGTCACCAGCTAGGCAATATCCAATTAATGGAACAAGATTTGGGTGCTTGATTCGACCAAGAAGCTCGAGCTGCTCTCTTGCAACTTGAGCTTCTTGGTCAGTCATGGTTGTTGGTCCATGGACCAAAACCTTCACAGCTACGTGAATCCCACCCGGTAGAAATCCTCCATAAACAGGCCCGAATCTCCCTTCAGCCAACAATGTGCCCCGGTCAAAATGTGAAGTTGCAGACAAGAGGTCTGCAAATGTGAAATTCAGCAATGGCTTCTCAAAGATAACTACTGGGACCGATGTTGCCAGCTTAACATCAGCTACCCACGTGGTCGAATCAGTTTGGAATGAAAAGGGTCCGGAAATGTTTTGTTCTTCTTTGCAAGGGTACTGTTTCATTGCCCAAGTTTTGGTTTTTCTTCGGCAACAAAAGGCTAAAAACAGCAACGCCAAAAGCAAACAAACCAGCGCGGTCGTTAAAACCAAAGCAAACTTGAAGCCCCTATGTTGGTGAGCTTTCCTTTTAAAGAGGTTTGGATTTGCAGCAATTGGGCAGCTATTCAGTGACCCAATGAAAGCTGTTTTCAGGGTCTCAGATGAATACCCTTCACCACAAAGGGTTAAGTTGTTGTAAGAGAAGTTGAAAGTCTGCATCGATGAGAGTCTTTCCAAGAGTGGTAATGGGATTTCACCACTTAAATTATTGTATGAAACATCAAGAAATTGGAGGTTTTTGATGCTCAAGAGAGGAATTTGGCTGCTGAGGCGATTTTTGGAAAGATCTAGTGTTCTCAAACTACTCAACTCTGAGATTTCAGCAGGGATGATTTACCCCAGCTAACAAGTTGAGGTACTCTAAACCAGAGAGCATACTAATTTTCAGGAATGCTTGTTCAGAGAACCGATTATAAGCGAGATTAAGGTGTTTTAGATTCTGGGCTTCATTCAAGTTTGTAAAAAACTCTCCACTAAGATGATGATTAAGGTGTTTTAGATTCTGGGCTTCATTCAAGTTTGTAAAAAACTCTCCACTAAGATGATTCTCAGATAAGTCTAAATAAACCAAACCAGACCTATTGAAGCTAGAATTAAAATATACCTGAGAGATGTGACCATCAAACTGGTTTTGGCTCAAGTCAATTATCTCCAATGGAACCTTAAAAACACCAATTACAGAACCCGAAAACAGATTTCTTGAAATGTTAAGATACAAAGTGGATATCATCCCGGAAAAATCTGAAGCCCGGCCACGAATCTCATTTTGAGCAAGGTTCAAATATTTGAGGTTAGTAAATGCAGAACCAAAACCATTGGGAAGATTTCCATTTAGCTGATTTGATGAAAGATCAAGTGAAACCAAAGAATGGCAACTCAGAATCCCAAATGGGATTATTGAATCGAAACGGTTTCCATTGAGTTTGAGAGCTTGAAGTCTAACAAGTGAGCTTAAAGTTTCAGGGATTTTCCCAGAAAAATTGTTGCTAGACAGGTCCAAGGTCTCAAGTAGACCAAAATTGCCTATGTTGCTTGGGAGGGTCTCAGAAATTTGGTTGGATGAGAGATTGAGGGTCTTGAGTGAACCCAAACTCCAAAAATCTGAAGGCAAACCAGTGATTTTGTTATTGCTTAGATCCAAATATTGAAGTTTTATGAGTTTGCCAATGGTGGATTCAGGAATCAAACCAGATAGACTTAGACCAGAAGCTACAAGCTTAATAACATGTTCTTGTTCACACAACACTCCTTGCCATGTACAAACAGGATCAGAAAAGTTGTAACTTTGAGAAGAAGTTAAACCCATCTTTTGAAAGAAATCAGAGAGAAAGTACTCATCAGTATTGGGTTGTTGACAGACTAAAGTTCTAAAGAACAGTGTTAGAAGGATAAAAACAAAAAACCAAAAACCCATTTGGGGAAACAAGAGTTAGAGAAAATGTGCACAAAAACCTTCAACCACTTCAAAACCCTCACTCTCTCTTCCTCTCAGACCTTCAAAACCACCATTTTTGTGTCATAAATGGCTCTATGAACCATTTTCTCCCAACTTTGGGGCGATCTTGAAAATCCCAAAACTCACTGAGAAGTGGCCTAGAAGTGGGAAAACCCACTGTTGAGGAACTAAAACTAATGAAGTTTTGAGAGAGAGAGAGAGAGAGAGGAATATGAGCATATCAAAGCCAACAAGGGAAGATACACCAATTGTGTAGTCTGTATGTAGAGTAGAGCCTCTGTTTTGAAGAACATGAGTCAAGCTTTTGTCTGGCCTTTCTATATTTTAATTATGCACAATTTTTCAATGAACACACACAATTTTTCAATGAACACAAAGACTGAGGGAAAATTATTAAAATACCTGAATGAGTGTCACAGGAAGGAGGAGAGAGAAAGGATATGTGAGAGAGGCCAGGAGTGTAATCAATAGATAAACAAAGGCGGTTTGAATTTTTTTTTTTAAAATAAAAGTTAATTTGATGAAAATAAATATTAAAAATATATTTTCAAAATTTTTAAAAAAATTTCTACTGAAAAAATAAAATTATATAAAAATAATAAGTTCACCTAGTTTGATTTTTGGAGTTTTCAAAAACAGTTTTGCGAGTTTTTCAATTGTATTTTTATATTTTTAATGATTTTTTAAAAAAAGTTTAATTAATTAATTTTTTTTTTACTTTATAGATTCACTTAATCTTGACAGGCTTAAAGAGTATAAAAACTTGTACAAAAATCTTTAAAAAATTTATACAACAAAATACAAAAATGCACTAAACTTTTGTATTGTCTTATATTTGTGAACTTTTTAAATTTTTTTCACAAAATATATACTTTTTAAATGTATTTAGATTATATGCAACTAAAAAATTAAAAAAAATGCATAAATTATTCAAAAAATTCACTAAAAATAAAAAAATACAAAAAGTAAAAAAAACTCAATTTTTAGAAAAGTGTGTTAAACCAAACAATTCATCTTTTTTTTTTTTCACCAAACTATTTTAAAAAAAAAAATTTCTTCTAAAAATAGATTTTGAAAATCAAACCAAACATGGCTAAAAATGCTAAAGATCCAAAATAATTACTAAATATTTTATATAATATTCACATGATTGTGAAACCCACACTACATGAGATCCACATGAATCTCACACTCATGTGAATGATTATGTAAAATATTTAGTAGGGCTAGCCCTCAAATACTCCGCGTGTAATGTGAAGTTTTAAAATTGGGCTTTTTATACATAATTAAAAAAAATGCTTGAATAAGATGATAAGTACTTACAATCAATTTTTATTTGCCAATATCCACACAAATTCTGCTTATATATGTATAATCACTAAAATTATATACTAAATTTATTTACATAAATCAAGATATGAATAAATCATTACAATAAGTAAAAAAATATAAAAATATAGTTTTATTGCTTTATGATTTAACAAACCTAGCTTACAACAAAAGAAAAAAAAAATTTAAATAAAATATAAACCTGTAATACAAAATAAAAATTAAACTTATGATAGTAAAATATTATTTAAATAATACTTTTATCGGAATTTTAATTTTAAAATTACTAATTAAGCATTCATAATTTACTAGGACCCTTTAGTTTAGACTGTGAACTAAAAAAAATTGAACCGTTTGGGAAGATGGTTTGTGACTATTTTAGCCACAAAAGACAAAATATGCTATTTTAGTCATAATAAACAAAATATCAAATCTAACTCATAATCATTACACTCTTCTCTCACAAAAAAAACTAAAAAAGCCAAAAAGCCCTTTCTAAACCAAACTTTTTAGCCCAAGCTAAAATAGCAAAAAAAATTAAAAAATCAAAAAGCCAACCCACTTCCCAAACCAACCCATAGTCTCCCAAAGTCATAAGAGCTAAAATTAATTAGAGTTAAGGATTAGAATTTGTGACATGACTTAAATATTACACCAAATTAGCAAGTTAGGCTAATATGATTTTTTTTTTTTCTATTTAAGATATGTATTGTTTGTTACCTATTTTAATGTTATTCTACTAAAAAAAATAAAATAATAATAGGTTATAATTTTTTTTAAATGAGGGAATATAATTGAGTTGATAACAAATATTTTATGAATAATTTTATTAAATAGAGATTAATTTCATAAAATTTAACTTGTGAAAAAAGTTTTAATTAACATGAAACATTAACAAGGTATAAACAAAAAATGACATGATACAATAACATAAAAAAATAAATGGATTGGATTAGTTTTGAGATTATTCTGCCTATTCCTAATTGGAGGTCCTAGATTTTGTCAAAGTTTGGGTGTCCGAGGCGACCGCCTTGGCTCAAAGCCGACCATAATATTTAGTAATTTATTTGAAATTCTTAACAATTACTTAGATAAATCGTGAAAAGATTAAACATATTTTTATTTCTCTCATTAATTCTATTATATAATTTTATTATCATAATGTCAAATTTTACTTTTTTCATTAATAGGATTAACTCATTTAGCTAGAACTTTTGTACTTTTTTAGAAAGTCAGTTACATGTGAGTATTTTTTACCATTTATATGTTGAGGGTTTCTCTCTTTTAATTTGAGTTTTTTTTTTGGTATTAATTATTATTATTATTATTATTATTATTATTATATTATATAAGAATCAACTTTAACAAAAAAAATTGGAACATGCGAGTTTGTACTTTAGTATAAGTAAAAATTATAACATGCCTTTATCGTAGCACATAACTGACGTGAATCTCCACAATTTTGTAATTATTTTTGCTTATTCCCACTAAAATGTAATTTTATTGAAAAAAATTACCTAGTTAATACATATTATAACCATTAGGGCCTGGATAATCTCCATTTTGCCAAAAAGAATTAGACTATCGAATTTGTGGGTCAGCAGCATGCCCAATCTTCATTGTATTTAAATAAATTAAATTCTGTTGCGTACTTAATAACAACTAGAATACAAAAGAAATAAAGAAAATGAGAGAATTTGTTTGATTACAGAAATCAAATTAGAAAAATAAAATAAAATAAATAAAAATAGATTTTTATTTTGTTACCAAAACAAAATCAAAAATCTGATTTAAATACATAAATAAAAACAGAAAATAAATAACCAACTTACTTGATTAATTTGTTGAATGATATTCTGATCAAGTCCAGTGTTCGACACTGTGTTCTTAAGACAGATTTGTCCTCTCCACGGTGCTTTCAGAATACGGACGTTTATCTCCCAGGATAAAATGATCAATCAACGAATAAATGCAGCACTACAATTTATCCGTACAACGAACTCACTAAGTGTATTTACTCTTTCTCACAGAAAACTAATGCAGCAATATGAAGAGAATAATAGCAGAATTATTTGGGATGAAAATAGTGAATGAAAACATCAAATGAGGGCTAGTCTATTTATAGATGTAGTGGCACCCTTTTAATTTGAATTGAACAAGTAGCATACCTGTCTGAACAGGTACTGAACCTGTAGGTTTGAATTAGTACTGTTTGAGTTCAAATTCAAACAGATAAAACCCAATTGCACAGATTTAAATCTGTCCGGGTTTTCTGAAATTTAAACAGATTCAAATCTGTTTGGGTGGGTGAAAAACGGACCCAATTTTGAATTTTAATTTCCGAAAAAAAAATTGGAAAAATTTGAATTTAATTTTAGAAAAATAAAATTCAAAAGTTTTTGGCCCAAAAAGATAGGTTTTGGGCCGGACAAGTCCAACCTCATACCACGCACCCGCGCCCAAACCCAGGCCCAGCCTAGCCTGCCTGACCGGACGAACGGACGACGGTGGCGCGCGTGTGGTGATTTTTGGGTCCAATGGGTCTAGCCTATTTTGCCCATAACCTCCATTTTCTACAAAACTTGGGTACCCCTTAGGGTACACCCCAAGTTCAAATCCCATGCATTATAAACCTACTCAAAACTTCCTACCAAATCAATGTGGGACAAGCCGTTTCAAACCTTTGAGGATTTTCCACCAAAACTTCATTTTCATGGAGCCCACTTTGGCTTCAATTTCCCATTCACTCGATAATGGTTTTGAACAACCAAATATATCATGTGAATTACAACGCGGCATAGAACGCGTTACTACTTAGACCCGCTAATTTTGGCGAACGGGTCCCACCCAAAATAATAGACCAAAGTTAGGAAATTTTATTGTTTTTACCTAGAATTTCCAAACCATTTCTAACAATCCCCACATGAATGAAATTTGATGATAACGAAAATGCAACAATATGCAGACTTTGTCGACAGAGTATAAGTCAAAAATATCTTGCATCAGGATAGGTAGCTTTCGGCCTTAAACCTTCCCTAGTGATAACCTATCGGACTTACTAGCTAACCAATGGACGTGATGCCTTGAATTGTTCAGCCGTTTGTGTAAGCCAAGACAATAGATTTCACACAAAATATCTTCTAACACATCATGGTTTTCACTGTTGTGTTCATTTTGGCCTTGAACGCTCCTGGTTTTCATGAGTGTTTCTAGAGAATTTAGCTTCTTCATTCTCATAGAACCGGCCCCAGTTCAACACTCATATAGGTGATTCTTATTGTGAGTATCTTCTTATACTCATCTTGATTTTTATGCCTAAATCAAGATATAAGTAATCATTAAAAGCTAAGCTTATCCTTAGACCCCCTGCATACAACACATGTTGCAGATATCACTCTCACCATACGAATGGGTAGGGAATTTTAATCCTTTAGTGATTTTTGGCGAGCCACACATAACTTATTGTCCTTTTGAACTCAGTTCTTAGGATCTCCAGTCATATAAGTAGGGTTACCATTATGATGACTCTTATGTAATAGGCTTTAATCCCATCCCCTTCGATGAACTATACACTTGCTCTTTAGTCAAACCTTTTGTTAACGGATCTACAATATTCTCTTTAGATTTTATATAATCTATTAAGA